TCAGACTCATCCTTTCACTTAGAGTCACTTCGGACTCATCCTTCCACATAGACCCTTGTCTTTTCTTTATTCGGACTCATCCTTCCACTTAGACCCTTGTCTTTCCGTTATTCAGACTCATCCTTTCACTTAGAGTCACTTCGGACTCATCCTTCCATTTAGACCCTTGTCTTTCCTTTATGTAGACTCATCCTTTCACTTAGAGTCACTTCGGACTCATCCTTCCACTTAGACCCGTCTTTCCTTTATTCGGACTCATCCTTCCACTTAGTCGCTTCGGGCCTTCGGCCCTTGTCTTTCCTTCGATTGGACTCACCCTTTCAATTAGAGTCACTTCGGCCTTTTGCCCTCGTCATCCCCTCGATTGGACTCATCCTTTCAAGGAGAACAAAATTTCGAAGCAAAAATGCTTCACAAGCAAATCTGCTTCGGATCCATAACAGGATCCAGCTTACCCTCCATAAAAATTTTCCCCAATATACAAAATTCACTCTTAAACTCTTCTCTGGGTTGCCCCGCATGGTCAGAGACGGAGAAAAATTTCGCCTCTCTTCCATCAACTTCACTTGTCAATCATTTTTCCTCTCTCCCTACCATAATTTTCCGGGTACGGTACTCAGCCCACAAATTTTTGAACCTCTGTACTTTTTTCGAAATGTACCGAAAATTTTCGAAAAAAATATTTTTATATCCAGCTCGATGAGAGCTTTCGAATGATATCCCATTCGGCATATCTATCTTGATTTTTAAAATTATAATTTTTCGGTCGAGAATTTCAGCCGAAAAAAATCACTGAAATTTTCAAAAAATCATATCTCGCCCAAAGTATGCTTTTTTGAAAATGTTAAAATCCCATAATATGCAGAAAAATCTGCTTTATCCAGGAAAAATAACTTCGGCCCAAACTGCCGGCAAAAATCCAGAAAAATTTCGAAAAACCGAAAAATTTGGGGTTTTTCGAAATTCGACCCTTACACCCCCAGTTTCGACTTTTTTCGAAATTTTTTGGGCTCAAAAAATACCTAATTTTTGACTCTATTTTATAAATCAAACCTCATAACATTCCGATAATCCCACAAAAAGTTATGATCCCCTAAAAAATCCCTCAAATCCCCCAAAAGGGGTACCCCTTTTGAAAAATTCGAAGGGTCAAAAATTTTCAAATTTTGACCCAAAAATATTCAAATTTTGACCCAAAAATATCCTATATGGTGCAATGATATGCGCTGAATCCATATCCGGTGTCAGAAAAATTCTAAAAAATTTTTCAAAAAAGTTATAGTCCAAAAAAGTTTCGCGACATTTGCGAACATTGGCCATAACTTTTTCAGACTCAAACAGACCCCCGACATATTATACCTTTTTCGGAGCCACTAAGCTCCCCTCATTATTTGCTCTTGAATGATTACTCATTCGACCGTACTTCACAATCCCGAAAATCCCTGATTTCGAAGTTCGAACTCCGAACTTCGACTTTCGGCTTGAACCTTTATCCCACTAAGCTCCCCTCATTATCCCCTCTTGAATGAGTACTCATTCGACCATGCTTCCCAATCCCGAAAATACCGGATTTCGAAGTTCGAACTCCGAACTTCGACTTTAGGCTTAATCCCTTATCCCATTAGACTCCCCTCAGTCCCAGCTCTTGAATAACTACCCACTCACCCATATCCCCCAACCTCGTAAATCCCGGATTTCGAAGTTCGAACGCGAAACTTCGAATTTAGACTTTATCTTTTATCCCATTAGACTCCCCTGATAATCCCCTCTTGAATGACTACCTACTTGCGAATATCCCCAAACCCCGAAAATCCCGGATTTCGAAGTTCGAACTCCGAACTTCGACTTTCGACATTATCCTATATCCCACTAAGCTCCCCTCATTATTTGCTCTTGAATGATTACTCATTCGACCGTACTTCACAATCCCGAAAATCCCTGATTTCGAAGTTCGAACTCCGAACTTCGACTTTCGGCTTGAACCTTTATCCCACTAAGCTCCCCTCATTATCCCCTCTTGAATGAGTACTCATTCGACCCCACTTCCCAATCCCGAAAATACCGGATTTCGAAGTTCGAACTCCGAACTTCGACTTTAGGCTTAATCCCTTATCCCATTAGACTCCCCTCAGTCCCAGCTCTTGAATGACTACCCACTTGCCTATATCCGCAACTCCCTAAAATACCGGATTTCGAAGTTCGAACTCCGAACTTCGACTTTCGACATTATCCTTTATCCCATTAAACTCCCCTGAACATCCCCTCTTGAATGACTACCCTTTTACCCATACTTCCCAATCCCGAAAATACCGGATTTCGAAGTTCGAACTCCGAACTTCGACGTTCGACATTATCCTTTATCCCATTAGACTCCCCTGATTATCCCCTCTTGAACAAATACCCACACACCCATATATCCCAACCCCGAACATACCGGATTTCGAAGTTCGAACTCCGAACTTCGACTTTAGGCTTAATCCTTTATCCCATTAGACTCCCCTCAGTCCCAGCTCTTGAATGACTACTCACTCACCCATATCCCCCAGCCCCGAAAAACCCGGATTTCGAAGTTCGAACTCCGAACTTCGACTTTCATACTTATCCCTTATCCCTTTAGACTCCCCTCATTATCCGCTCTCGAACGAATACCCACTCACCCATATCCACAAATCCCGAAAAACCCGGATTTCGAAGTTCGAACTCTGAACTTCGACTTTCGGCTTTACCATATATCCCATTCAACTCCCCTCATTATCCGCTTTCGAATGACTACTCATTCGACCATATTCGAAAATCCCTAAAAATCCCGAAATCCCGGATCCCTAATTTCGAATTCCCCCTCAACTTCCCCTACTTCATCCCTCCCTCAACTCGAAACTTGCTTAAGTTTCGAAATCCCACTTTTTCAAGCCGAAATTTCAACTGCCCATCAAAATTTCTCTCTCACCTATGAGATTTGCCCCCTGGCTTTCCTCAATTTAGAGAAATCCGACAATTATCGGTAAGACAATTTTCTTACAAAAATTTTTGCCCCCCTATAAGTACCCCCAAGTTCGAATTTCGACTTTGAAATTTTTCCTACCTATATCTACATATCCCAACTTAAAATCCTACCAGCAGAAGTTTTTCGATATCTTTATCCGTTTTCGAGTTATTTTCGAAAAACTCGAATTTTAAATACCGACACACCCGACAATTCACCGGAAATGTCTGATTCTTTGCTCACGCATAAGTACCCTTTAACTTCGAATTTCGACTTCGGGTTTTTTGCAATCGACATTGTCTATTGATGCTTAAGTGCCCTCCCGTTAGTCCGACACGCGTATCTGTACCCAGTCCCGAGATATCCCCGGTACCTCTATTATTTAGGTACCAAGGGGTTCCTAAAATTTTCCGTCCTTATTTTTCCCATATGCCCCCTTAAATTTGACCCCGGACATGTAACACTTTCAGCCCATTATCTCAACTCTGTAAAGAGTTCTAAATTTTTGTAGAGATTTTACCAATACTTTTATATATATATATATAAACTAGTTGTGGCGCGGATAGCTGCAGGCGGCGGATAGCTGGGTGCCTAAATAGCATACTCTGGCGGTAAAATTTTGGGGTGCCCGTTGGAAAGCCTAACGGCTTTGGGGCGCGCTTCGCGCGCGGCTAGAAAATTTATTGGCTGGGGTGGTAAATTTGAAAATTCATAACTTTGTACAAAATGGTCAGAAATTTTTTACGATAGTATTTTTAGACTCAGCTCACTGAGAGCTTTCATTTGATATATCATTTGGACAACTTTAAAAATTTTTTAAAAAAATTCAAGTTTTTGGCCAAAAAATTTTGTTGATTTTTTCAAAAAAACTTGAAAAAATCCTAACTTTGTTAGTTGTAGGTATTTTTACGAATTTAAAGTTTTAGCATGGGTATAAAATCAGGCTCTATTTATTAAAAATATAAGCTGAGACCTCGACCGGTTGTTCCCCTTTAAATTTTGAAAAAACTGAAAATTTTTGATTTTTCAAAAAATCGACCCTTAGACCCCTTAGTCGCAAGTTTTTCAGAAATTTTTACGTATTAAAAAATTTCTAATTTTTTTCTCTATTTAATAATTTTGAGTTCGTATGAATAGGACAAAAACTCATAGAGAATTTTGGGAAAATTTTTTTCAAGAAAATTTTCTAATTTTCGGTCATAATAGGTTTTAATATGCGGGGATAACGAATCCGTTGGCCGTTTATTTTTATAAATTTTTTCCTTCAAGTTAGAGGCAAAAAATTTTCTCTCTTGGCCTGAAGTTGTGGAGACCCAAGATTTGGTCACTCATAACTTTGTACAAAATGGTCAGAAATTTTTTCTGATTTTATTTTTAGACTCAGCTCGCTGAAAGCTTTCATTTGATATATCATTTGGCCAGCTTTAAAAATTTTTGGTAAAGTTTAAGTTTTCGGCCAAAAATTTTGTCAGATTTTTTCAAAAAAATTTTCAAAAAATCATAACTTCGTTTGTTATAGGGATTTTGGAATAATTTAAAGTTTAGCATGGGTGTAAAATCAGTCTTTAATTATTAAAAATATAATCAGAAACTTCCACTGGTTATACCCTTTTAAATTTTGAAAAAACTGAAAATTTTTGAATTTTCAAAAAATCGACCCTTAGACCCCCTAACCTTAAGTTTCTCAGAAATTTTTGTGTATTAAAAAATTTCTAATTTTTTTCTCTATTTAATAATATTGAGTTGGTTTGAATCGGTACAAAACTCACAAAGTTATGGCCGATTAAAAATTTTTGGAATTATTTCATAAGGGGTACCCCTTTGAAAAATTTTGGGAAAATTTTTTTCGAGAAAATTTTTTTATTTTCGGCTATAATAGGTTTTAATAGGCGGGAATAACGAATCCGTTGTCCGTTTATTTTTAAAAAATTTTTCCTCAAAGTTAGAGGCCAAAAATTTTCAGTCCTCCACAGAATATGTCGAGGAACACAAGATTTTTTCTGTTTTTAACCGTGCTCAGTCGTTTTTTGTAACAAAAACGTCCAGAGTACACCGCGTGGAGGTGCACGGTGGTCAACAGTGAACCATATACTCCTCACTGGGCTGTAAATGGGGAGGAAATAATAAGAAAAAGCAATCTCAGGGGGAATTTACAATAATAAGAAGGGTTCTACAATTTGACTTAGTCAAACTACAATTTGACTTAGTCAAACTGTAGACCACGGGCTACAACATTTGTAATAAGGGTGTTCCCATCATTATCCTTAGGTTTGTTGGGGGCAAAAACTCTTATGAAATTACTATTGGTACACCGTGAGAGGGCGGTATAAAGCTGTCCGTGGGCAAAGGGTTCATCTGAGAAATCTATGCCCAACCTCTCGCATGTCTGGCCTTGGGCCTTTGTGATAGTCATGCAGAAGGCTGTCCGGACAGGGAATTGGAGGCGCACGAAGCTAACCCCATCTGGTTCTGGGTCCTGGTGTTGCATTCGGACGCGGGAGAGCCCAACAGTTACCCCTTGGTTTACGCCGTAAATGGTTTCGGCTTCTATTAAATGATCGCGAAGTGCAATAATTTTTAGGCGAGTACCGTTACACAAGCCTTTGCTTGTGTTAAGGTTAATAAGAAGGACAATTACAGAACCAACTTTGAGGTGTAAGTGGTGGGCGGGGAGACCGGACGGGGTTAAGTTATTAATATAAGAAACATCTTGCTGGGCGGCATATGGATCTAACGGGTCATCAGTGAGACTTCTGTCTACTGAATAATAGTCTCGGGATTGACTATTGAAGGAGGCAAGGATAAGGTCATTATTAAGGTCCACGGATCTGTTAGTAGGGGCAAGCATTAATCTTGTAAGAAGCTGACTACTATGAATAGTAAACCCTTGATCAAAGACGAAAGATATTAACTCATCACGAGTCTCTACCATCATTGATTTAGGGAGGGCAATTTTATCCCCGGAGGTGTTAGTACCCAAATTATAAAGCCATTCTTTAAATTGAATCTCGGAGGGTTGGAGTCTCATATTTTGCATTAATCGGGTTTTAAGAAACATTTTATAAAGATAAGAACTTTGAATACAAACGGGTACTGCCATTTCAGGAATGGAGCAATTTTTAACTACTGGGAGTGACTGTTTCCAATCCCCAGAAAGGATTACCACTTTACCAGCAAAAGGAATATCCCTTTTGGAAGGAACCATGGTCCGGAATAAAAGGTCAACATTTTCTAATAATGTCATCTCCAGCAAAGTTATTTCATCAATGATGATAACATCGCTTTCGATTATTCGGCGGCCAAAATAGCTTCCGAATTGGATTTGGGGGATTTGACCTGGACGATGGTTGATTCCAAAACGGAGGGCGGAATGTAAAGTCATGCCACCGGCATAAAACTTTGTAGCGGCGATCCCAGTCGATGCTGTTGCAAGGACTTTGTGACCTAACCGCCTTAAATGGAAGAGCAAATAGTTTAATAAGAAAGTTTTCCCGGTTCCCCCATCCCCAGATAAGAAATAAAGTTTTGCGGAATTAGGATCTCTTATGGAATTAAGAATTAAATCAAAGAAATTATTTTGTTCGGGGTTAAGGGTGGCACTGACTAATGATGATGTATCGGCAGTTGCGTCGGTATCATCATCATTTATATGTTGGGGGAAGAAAAACTGGTCAACAGCTGTATCAGGGTCGTCAGTGAGGGAATTATGTGGAAGTGGGAGACCATAATCAGACATTGACTTGCCATTAGCAAGCAAATATCTTTCAATTATAGCCAGAGCCCGGTCAATACGAATAGGACGTTGATCTTCGGTACAACGTCGGTCAAAGAAATGGTCTATGAACATGTTCCACAAATGCAGAGCATCTATGACGCAATCATCTGTGGAACTGAAGACAAGAATATTTACGAAAAGTTGGCGCATTTGGGAAGGAGTTAAGGAATAGGAACCCTCTCTTAAAGTTCGCTCCCAAACGGAACTATCTTCAAAGAGGCCGCGTTGTCGGGCTGCTTCGGCAAAAGTGGTGTACTTTATACCGTTCACAGTTAATAAGTGGTCGGGGTCCCCAGGGAAGTGCTTAGTAAGAACGTAAAGGGCGAATTTTTCAGGGTCCTCACGGGGGGAAACAGTATAAATGCGTCCTAAAACAGGCTGACCTTTTACAGTGGAATGTTTGCGGGGTTCCCAAGTTTTAGTATCGTCATGAAAGGCATATGTTTCGGGAAGATTTTCAAATAGAATATTTTTAACATTGTTATCCTTAGCCCATAATTTCCAATAAGCAGTTAATTTGGATTCCGGGTATTTGCCCTGGCCAACATCAGCTATAATTTGATTACGGGAAGCGGGAGTCATAAAAACAGGTTGGTTACCGGGTAAATGGATAGAAAGGGGGATTACTGCATGGGAAAGGTCAGCATATTTATATGATTGGATTCGAGAAAATGCCTCAGCTGGACTTCGATAAAGCATCTTGGCATATTGGGCGGGTTCATCTATATTAATGGTGCCGGCTGTATTTTTAATATAAGAAAAACTTGGGCCTTTGAAGGGGTACTTTAGGGCATATTTAAGGTTATCAGTTTGACCGTAGGCAAGTTCCAAGTTATGGTGGGATTGGAACATAACCATTATGAAAGGATTATAGGGGACAATACGAGAATTATCGTATTTGATGATGGCTTGTCCGCGTGGAACACTAAGGACTTCACCACCATCTTCAGGACTGGGACGATAATATTCCGCGGGCCTATTTGCGTGTATAATGGTCTGCCTGGAGAAGGCCTTTGGGAAATGCTTCATACATCGCCCATCATGCCCTCTGCAGTGAGAACCACAGTCATGGACTTGGAATTTGGGAATGAGGTCACGAACTTTCCGAAGAAAGTTCGCCCAATCAGAAGTATCTGAATCGGGTGGGTTGGGAGGAATGTGGGCCCAGATTATATTAGAAATATTTTCGGGGGTGGCTTCTAAGTCAGTTGTGTAGACTCTATGAAGATGGGGGCCGCCGATTCTTTTTTGAAATTCACGGCTTTGGGCATAACCGAGTATTTTCCCCAAAATGTGTTTATTATTAATAAGGTCGGTTAATTTTCTTTTCTTATCTTCATAGACTCTACACATTACATCAAAACGGTCAACTAATTTTTGGTTTTTATGGAGGAAGTTACGTTTAATTTCGGGCCAGTTGGGATTGGAAGTAAATGTCAACATGAAGGATGCACAACCCTTTTGTCTCGTGCGAGACATAATTGTTGTGGCATCGTAAAACATGTCTTGGAAGTAGGGCCGGGTCCCAGGATGATATCTACGAAAGAATACTACACTTGTAATGTCGTCGACTGATTTCAGTCGGCCGTCATTAGCCAAGTGTTTAAGAATTGTTGGGGGGACAGTCTTAAGAAGGTTAAATCGGGGCTGGCGTAAGAAACTTGCTACTTCAGCATCAATTCGAGCTGAGTAGTCAAGAGTAAATTTTTGAGAAAGGCCACCACCTGCACTCCAAATGTTGTGCAGTGGCTCGTCCTTGCGAATAGCAAGACGATATCGAATATAATCCCGGAGGGAGATCCATTTTTTAGAGGTAGTGGGTTCTTCAAGCTCATCATCGGATCTTAAATCCTCCGAGTGGTCCTTAATTGATTTGGGAGGAATTTTATTAGTGTTAAAAGGATATTTTTCATGGAACCCATCATCCCCATTAGGAAATAACAGTGGATAAGTAAGGGTGTCTGTGGTAGGGTGATAAGCGGGAATTTCAAATAAAGATCCTTGAAGATCAGTAATATAAATACCTTTTAATAAAGGAGGGTCAGTGGACTCAGTCCAAATAGAGAACATTGCTTTCTCGTCAGGTAAATTTACTTGACGAGGATGGTCTCTTGGATCTCTAATAGCTGCAGGCACATTTCGCTCCTCCAGAAGAGTAAATCGAAATTTTCTCACAGCATCGGGGCCATCCTGTTGCAGGATGCTTTCATACTGAGTATGAAAGTTTTTAAAATTAATTGCAAAGGGATGGGTGGTCCTAAGGAGGGTGTCTAAGTCCTGGAGAGTTTTCTTATTTACACGATCTCCCCCATATTGGGTGTTTTGGGTACGTATATCCAGAGCTTCATTAGCATCCAGAATATACAATTGAGAAAAGGAAGGGGTAAGAGGGCCCGGGAACATTGAACTAATACGGCGAGAAAACTCTCCATTTAACATAAAACAAACACTACCATGATGGGAGGAATCTTGGTGCCCAACGGAAATGGAGGCAAAGGCTAATAAACTATTATAAATATTTTCATTCTTAAGAAATTCCTTAGATTGAGGGGTATCAGATCTTAATAAGTTTTTTAATAATGGGGGATGTTCAGTGTAGGCTGGGAGGGTAACTTTGCCACATTTACAACAGAAGGAGGAGGTAACCCGTTTGAATGTTCTTTTATGTTCATTGTTAACTTCGGAATTAAATAATAAAGCCCAACAATAATAACAAATAGAATCCCCGAGGTTGCCCGAGTCATAATAATCTGTAGTATGCTGGGATCGAACATCAGCACAGGGCCATAAGGGGTGATTACGAGTACAACGACTGGTAATCGGGTTGGATGAGGAGGAAGGTGGTGGGGAAGTAACGGAAGAAGGTGCTGGTGTAGCATCCTTCTTGGACTTAATACGCTCGGAACGGCGCAAATTTTTGGAGGGAGGGTCGGGTTCTAAGAACACAAAGGGATAGTTGGGTACAACCACCCCTTCGTCGGGAATTACATGTTCGATGACATGTTGAGGGGGGGCTACATGTTCGATGACATGTTGAAGGCGAGGGTGGTACACAAAATTATCCCCATTAAAAAGGTTATTAACGTGCCAAAGTATTCTACGTTTTTCGGTATTAATATTAAGATTATTAAAAATAAGATTACGATTGTTAAAAAGCCATGCTTCGGCATATAAACAGGTAAAGTACCCGCAACTGTTCCCATCAGTTTGGCGGGTATATAAATTAGTGGGATAGTCGTTAATATGAATATTATTAATAGGAATATTAGTCATACGATTAATATAAGAATGAATAATAGGAATCCTTTGATCACCATGCAATCGTGATTGAAGGGGGAAAAAGAGGGAATCAATAAAAAATCCTCTATTATCAGAGGCATCCCAAACTACTAAGGTCCAGTGATTTGGGAAGTTAAGGGGGAAAAGGATTATCTCAGGCACTTGGCCTGGGATAAAACCATAGCACCGGTCTACGAAATCTTCCTCTGGAATGTCTTGGACATTCTGATTCATAAGAAGAGGAATAATGACATTTGAGTCAACTACAACGGTGTATCTATGGCAATGTCGGGACAAATAGCAGAGAAATCCATAGATTTCAGAGCCATCGAAAAACTCTGTTAAATTATTCCAGAGTGTTTCTATACGAAGGGGAGCCCTATCATTATCTTCATCACGAAGTTCCATGAAAGCCCTATTACAAATTGCCCCGGGGTCATTAGTTTTTTGGGTTGCAAAATTAAGTAAAGGTAAATTTTCAAAATTAATAGTGGGAACCATGGGAACCTGGGGTGGTTGAGGAGGTTGAGGTTGTTTCTTGGGTCTTCCCGTGGTTCCTCTCGTTTTCTTTTTAGGGCGACCACGTTTAGTGGCAATAGAATTATTTGGAGAGGATGCACGGGAAGAAAAAACAGACGAAGAATCAATTGAGGACAATAAACTTTCAGTGTCAACAGAGGACTCTCTAGTCTTCCTCTGTTTCCTTGGCGCAACGGCCTCGGAAGTAAGGGAAAAAGGGGTGAGTGGGGTTGTTGGAGTAAGAGGAGGACCCGGGTCAACAGTTGCATCAAAAATATTTACATTATCAAAGTTAAAATGAAAAGAATGATCATGAAGAGAAGAAGAAGGAAGAGAAGATGATTCACCACCCTGAAGCGGGTTGAGAGATATATTGCTCTGAAGAGAGCAGTTTTGGTTTCCCAGATCAAGATTCTGATCAGAATGCTCTGGTTGGACATCCTGATCAGTGCTCTGAAGAGAGCAGTTTGGGTTAGGGTCAGCTAAATGTCTTAGCCGACGATTTTTGCGCTTTTGACGATCTTTTGAAGGCATATTTATTAAAAATATATTAAAATTTAATTATAAACCCAAAATATCTAAAATATAGATTCAAAAACGCAAAAGAGATGAGGAGAGGAGAGGAGAAAAATAGAAGAAGAAGAAGAAGAAGAAAATGATATATAAGAGAAATAGAGATAAATGAAAGAAAAAACATGCAATTTACTGCCCCAAAACCAATAAACTACTACCCCAAAAATAAAAATACATCTACTGCCCCAAAAATAAAATAAATCTACTGCCCCAAAAATATATCTACAACCCCAAAAACAAAAATAAATCTACTGCCCCAAAAATAAAATATATACTACCCCAAAAATAATATACTGCAAAAAATAAATATAGAGGGAAGCGACAAGTCTCACTACAAATCTACGCAGGACAAATAAAAAAATATTTTAGAACAAAAGAAAAATAGTTCTGTAAATTACTCTGCGTAGATTAGGAGTGAAACCGACATAGTATGAAATATAAATCAGTTCTGCCGAATCTATGACCATAATTCTAACAAACATGATTGTGTTTTAGGTTTAAAATAATTTTCGTAACATGTTACAGAAAAGTTTTAAAAATATAATATATTTTAAATTTCTTTTAATTATAAATTGAAATATTTAATCATGTTTGATAGAACTCTGAACAAAGATTGGAGTGAGGGAAAAGGTTCTGACCAAGGCTTATGCCGTACGCATTGGACGATGTGACTTCAGGGAGGAAAAAAATAAAATAAAAAAATAAACGAACCCAGGGAAATAGAGAGATATTGAGTAATTAATATATATTTAAATAATTTCTAAGGTAAAATAGAAAGGTCCAAAATATTTTTAAAGGTAAATAGTGTAAATGATTGTATTATTAGGATTCTTAAAATGTATTACTAATTTAAACAATTATACTGTTCAGTAAAATCCAATGGAAAATATTTTTAAATGATAGGGAAAATATTTTAATTTATGTTAAAGACAAAAAGGGAAGAAAAAATTCAAAAATTGGTAAAAATCCCTCGAAGTATTTAAAATAGGGTTGGGTAGAAGTCACATATCCGCGTACAGCCCTTGGTAGAAGTCACCAGATGGCATCAACTGGGGGGTACCAGCTGACTGGAGTGCCAAAAGATGAAAAGTTGGGTACAGAAGTTAGGAGCGGAGTCTACCTGGGCTTCCAACCGGGGTAGAGAAGGGAATGAGGCCCACCTTAGAGTTCAAAGCATGATGCATACCAGTATTGGCATCCGCGCAGTAGGCTAGTATGCATTAAAAGGGGGAAATGTTAGATATAATAAGGATTTTGAAGTTTAGATAGTTTTATTTCTAATAATTTTTATTGGGGGCATGCTTTTTACTCTTCGGTGATTTGACAACACCGCATTCCCGACCCTAATTGGAAGGAGCCACTTGAGGTAGCTAAGAAATGATGCAATAAATGCATACATTAGTAAACGTGCAATGCTCCGAGGCGAAGTGCAATGCCCCGTATGAGCTGTTTAGCTAATGTGTAATGAAAACCCACACATTATGCAGCACCAGACTCCACAGGTCTTCTGCGGCATATATCCGAATGGTTGGCCTTTTTGAGGTACCTGTACTATAACCCGAAAATTTTTATTTTTTAAATTTTTGAGTACAGGTACCAAAAAATCATAATGTCTACGACTATTGGTAACTTAATACACAATAGTAGACATTATGATTTAGCCAACCAAACGGAAGCACGCATCCTGCTTCCTCCGGTTAACCACATAATGATTAGGGAAAAGCTCTCTTTATTATAAGAAACCCCAGAATGGGGAGGGAGGAAGAAAGAGAGAGAGAAAGAGAAGAAGAAGAAGGAGAGGAGGGAGAGAGAGAAGAGAGAGAGAAGAGAGAGAGAGAAGAGAGAGAGAGAAGAGAGAAGAGAGAGAGAGAGGAGGGTTAGAGAGAGAGAGGGGAGAATAAATAAATTAAATATTTTGGGTTTATAATTAAATTTAATATTTTTTTATTTTTTAGAGAGCATATTTTTTAAAAAAATAAATGATTTGAAAAAATGACTGGAAATGAGAAATATGGGGTATATCCTCCTCCTTATATAGTCCCATACCCCCCATAGTACTCCCCTGCCCCAGAGTTACCATTTTGAGATTTTGACCATTTTGAGCCCTGACCATTTTGAAATTTACCATTTTGACATTTTTTGCCAAAATGACCTACTCGGGATTCTGAATCGATCTGTGAAGGTCTCGAGCTCGAGTCGAGCTCGAGACTCGAGCTCGAGGGCTCGAAAGGTACAAAGTTGCTCCAAGTATAGGCATGTGGGTACTCGTTCAAACGGGCTCGTCGAGCTGAGTCGGAATATGCAGGTCTCGAGGTCGAGACTCGAGGCTGGTTCTCAAACTCGAGACCTCGCCCCTATTTTTGAGGGGCTGATTCCACAATATTGCATTTTTGACCATTACTCGGTCAGACTAAGGTGGCAAAGCATATGATATTCCTACTCGGGATTCTGAATCGATCTGTGAAGGTCTCGAGCTCGAGTCGAGCTCGAGACTCGAGCTCGAGGGCTCGAAAGGTACAAAGTTGCTCCAAGTATAGGCATGTGGGTACTCGTTCAAACGGGCTCGGCGAGCTGAGTCGAAATATACAGGTCTCGAGGTCGAGACTCGAGGATAGTTCTTAAACTCGAGACCTCGCCCCCATTTTTGAGGGGTTTTACTCAGATTTTATCCTTTTTTACCCATAAATTGGCCAGACTCAAGTGAACCTTCGATTTTCAGAGGATTATTACACGTTCTACAACATTAAAATACTATATTTTATTTGTCGCCCTTACTTTGTACTTCACTCGGAAGTGACACACAACTTCAGAAATTACTGACCCCCAGAACTTGTGTCAGACTCAAGCGGACCCCCAACAAAGTATATATTTTTAGGATGATTTTAGGATACTCTACAGCTTGAATGGGCCATACTTGATCAAACAACGTTCCCATGGTACCCCACCGGCAAAAGTACCCCCCAGACTCAAACATTTGACCCTCCATAACTTTGGCCAAAATGGTAAGAAAATTTCACAAAAAATAATTTTAAACTCGCCTCGATAAGGGCTCTCGAATGATATAACATTTGGCCTATTTATGGCCATTTTGAAAAATTTATTTTTTTCGCCGAAAATTTTGGTCGAAAAAATCGTCAAAATTTTCAAAAAATCATAACTTTCCCAAAGTAGAACTTTTGTAAAAATTTTAAAATCTTATTCTATGCAGAAAAATCTGCTCTATCAAGGAAAAATGCCTACGCCCCGAACCACCGGCAAAAATACCGGAATTTTTTCGAAAAACCGAAAAATTTTCGAATTTTCGAAATTCGACCCCCTCGTGCCTAATTTCGAATTTTTTCGAGATTTTTTCGGCTCGAAAAATTTCTAATTTTTTATTCTATTTTATAAAAGAAACCCCATCCAGATTCCTTTATCCGGTAAAAAGTTATGGCGATTTAAAAAATCGCGAAAATCCCCCAAAAGGGGATTTTGGGGGATTTTGGGATGGGGTTGGGATGGGGTCGGGAAAAAAATTTTTGATTTTTGAGTCAAAAAACGAACTATATGGGGCTTTGACACTCGCTGAGTCCATATCCGGTCTCAGAAAAATTTTAAAAAAATTCCCCGGGACGTTAGAGTCTCATAAAATTTTGCGCCATTTGGTCACATTGGCTATAACTCTTTGAGACTCAAGTGGACCCCCAACATATTATACCTTTTTCTGACTGCCAGGGGATGCTCTTTCGAACTGGCTATTGAAAACGGGTTTCAATTCACTTTACAAAAAGTCGACTTTTCGACTTTGACAATTTGACCCATTTGACCCTCAAAAGTTCACCCGAGACTCAAATGTCCAACTATTTATAACTTCCCCACACTCTACCCTCCAACATCACTCCCAGGCCCAAGAACCCCCAACTTCTAAAAAAAGAGTTATAACACTTTGAATTTTTTATCCGGCCATTTCGGTGCCACACTTGAGTGCGGCACCAAAATGGCCTAGCCCATTAAACTCCCCATGGCCACTTACCTATAACCCCTCAGGTCCCATTCAATTACGCCCAGTGGTTCCCGAGATACCACAGCTCCACATTTTGCCAATCTCCAATGGCACCACATTTGGCCAATTCGACACTTCGGTTTGCGCACCTATAACTCCCCGGGGGTTCAACCGATTTCCAAAATTTTTTTTTTATATTAATCCCCTAATAAAGGAGCAGTGCCCTCCCAGCGGGACCTTTCCGCTCCGACTTTTAGTTCAGGAGATAGCAAAACTCGTGGGGTCGTTTCGGCGCAAAGGAAAAGTCGTGGCGCCGAGTTCGTATTTTTCCTGAATGCGCCATTAAAAGTTGCCCCCAAGATGTCAGGCTTCGGGGAAGCGGCCGGCCTTCGGCCGGCCGATAATAGTTTTTAAAATGGAAATTTGTCTCTTTTATAGGTATAAGAGTAACTAGTTGTGGCGCGGATAGCTGCAGGCGGCGGATAGCTGGGTGCCTAAATAGCATACTCTGGCGGTAAAATTTTGGGGTGCCCGTTGGAAAGCCTAACGGCTTTGGGGCGCGCTTCGCGCGCGGCTAGAAAATTTATTGGCTGGGGTGGTAAATTTGAAAATTCATAACTTTGTACAAAATGGTCAGAAATTTTTTACGATAGTATTTTTAGACTCAGCTCACTGAGAGCTTTCATTTGATATATCATTTGGACAACTTTAAAAATTTTTTAAAAAAATTCAAGTTTTTGGCCAAAAAATTTTGTTGATTTTTTCAAAAAAACTTGAAAAAATCCTAACTTTGTTAGTTGTAGGTATTTTTACGAATTTAAAGTTTTAGCATGGGTATAAAATCAGGCTCTATTTATTAAAAATATAAGCTGAGACCTCGACCGGTTGTTCCCCTTTAAATTTTGAAAAAACTGAAAATTTTTGATTTTTCAAAAAATCGACCCTTAGACCCCTTAGTCGCAAGTTTTTCAGAAATTTTTACGTATTAAAAAATTTCTAATTTTTTTCTCTATTTAATAATTTTGAGTTCGTATGAATAGGACAAAAACTCATAGAGAATTTTGGGAAAATTTTTTTCAAGAAAATTTTCTAATTTTCGGTCATAATAGGTTTTAATATGCGGGGATAACGAATCCGTTGGCCGTTTATTTTTATAAATTTTTTCCTTCAAGTTAGAGGCAAAAAATTTTCTCTCTTGGCCTGAAGTTGTGGAGACCCAAGATTTGGTCACTCATAACTTTGTACAAAATGGTCAGAAATTTTTTCTGATTTTATTTTTAGACTCAGCTCGCTGAAAGCTTTCATTTGATATATCATTTGGCCAGCTTTAAAAATTTTTGGTAAAGTTTAAGTTTTCGGCCAAAAATTTTGTCAGATTTTTTCAAAAAAATTTTCAAAAAATCATAACTTCGTTTGTTATAGGGATTTTGGAATAATTTAAAGTTTAGCATGGGTGTAAAATCAGTCTTTAATTATTAAAAATATAATCAGAAACTTCCACTGGTTATACCCTTTTAAATTTTGAAAAAACTGAAAATTTTTGAATTTTCAAAAAATCGACCCTTAGACCCCCTAACCTTAAGTTTCTCAGAAATTTTTGTGTATTAAAAAATTTCTAATTTTTTTCTCTATTTAATAATATTGAGTTGGTTTGAATCGGTACAAAACTCACAAAGTTATGGCCGATTAAAAATTTTTGGAATTATTTCATAAGGGGTACCCCTTTGAAAAATTTTGGGAAAATTTTTTTCGAGAAAATTTTTTTATTTTCGGCTATAATAGGTTTTAATAGGCGGGAATAACGAATCCGTTGTCCGTTTATTTTTAAAAAATTTTTCCTCAAAGTTAGAGGCCAAAAATTTTCAGTCCTCCACAGAATATGTCGAGGAACACAAGATTTTTTCTGTTTTTAACCGTGCTCAGTCGTTTTTTGTAACAAAAACGTCCAGAGTACACCGCGTGGAGGTGCACGGTGGTCAACAGTGAACCATATACTCCTCACTGGGCTGTAAATGGGGAGGAAATAATAAGAAAAAGCAATCTCAGGGGGAATTTACAATAATAAGAAGGGTTCTACAATTTGACTTAGTCAAACTACAATTTGACTTAGTCAAACTGTAGACCACGGGCTACAACATTTGTAATAAGGGTGTTCCCATCATTATCCTTAGGTTTGTTGGGGGCAAAAACTCTTATGAAATTACTATTGGTACACCGTGAGAGGGCGGTATAAAGCTGTCCGTGGGCAAAGGGTTCATCTGAGAAATCTATGCCCAACCTCTCGCATGTCTGGCCTTGGGCCTTTGTGATAGTCATGCAGAAGGCTGTCCGGACAGGGAATTGGAGGCGCACGAAGCTAACCCCATCTGGTTCTGGGTCCTGGTGTTGCATTCGGACGCGGGAGAGCCCAACAGTTACCCCTTGGTTTACGCCGTAAATGGTTTCGGCTTCTATTAAATGATCGCGAAGTGCAATAATTTTTAGGCGAGTACCGTTACACAAGCCTTTGCTTGTGTTAAGGTTAATAAGAAGGACAATTACAGAACCAACTTTGAGGTGTAAGTGGTGGGCGGGGAGACCGGACGGGGTTAAGTTATTAATATAAGAAACATCTTGCTGGGCGGCATATGGATCTAACGGGTCATCAGTGAGACTTCTGTCTACTGAATAAAAAAGTTACGTTTAATTTCGGGCCAGTTGGGATTGGAAGTAAATGTCAACATGAAGGATGCACAACCCTTTTGTCTCGTGCGAGACATAATTGTTGTGGCATCGTAAAACATGTCTTGGAAGTAGGGCCGGGTCCCAGGATGATATCTACGAAAGAATACTACACTTGTAATGTCGTCGACTGATTTCAGTCGGCCGTCATTAGCCAATTTTTTCCTTCAAGTTAGAGGCAAAAAATTTTCTCTCTTGGCCTGAAGTTGTGGAGACCCAAGATTTGGTCACTCATAACTTTGTACAAAATGGTCAGAAATTTTTTCTGATTTTATTTTTAGACTCAGCTCGCTGAAAGCTTTCATTTGATATATCATTTGGCCAGCTTTAAAAATTTTTGGTAAAGTTTAAGTTTTCGGCCAAAAATTTTGTCAGATTTTTTCAAAAAAATTTTCAAAAAATCATAACTTCGTTTGTTATAGGGATTTTGGAATAATTTAAAGTTTAGCATGGGTGTAAAATCAGTCTTTAATTATTAAAAATATAATCAGAAACTTCCACTGGTTATACCCTTTTAAATTTTGAAAAAACTGAAAATTTTTGAATTTTCAAAAAATCGACCCTTAGACCCCCTAACCTTAAGTTTCTCAGAAATTTTTGTGTATTAAAAAATTTCTAATTTTTTTCTCTATTTAATAATATTGAGTTGGTTTGAATCGGTACAAAACTCACAAAGTTATGGCCGATTAAAAATTTTTGGAATTATTTCATAAGGGGTACCCCTTTGAAAAATTTTGGGAAAATTTTTTTCGAGAAAATTTTTTTATTTTCGGCTATAATAGGTTTTAATAGGCGGGAATAACGAATCCGTTGTCCGTTTATTTTTAAAAAATTTTTCCTCAAAGTTAGAGGCCAAAAATTTTCAGTCCTCCACAGAATATGTCGAGGAACACAAGATTTTTTCTGTTTTTAACCGTGCTCAGTCGTTTTTTGTAACAAAAACGTCCAGAGTACACCGCGTGGAGGTGCACGGTGGTCAACAGTGAACCATATACTCCTCACTGGGCTGTAAATGGGGAGGAAATAATAAGAAAAAGCAATCTCAGGGGGAATTTACAATAATAAGAAGGGTTCTACAATTTGACTTAGTCAAACTACAATTTGACTTAGTCAAACTGTAGACCACGGGCTACAACATTTGTAATAAGGGTGTTCCCATCATTATCCTTAGGTTTGTTGGGGGCAAAAACTCTTATGAAATTACTATTGGTACACCGTGAGAGGGCGGTATAAAGCTGTCCGTGGGCAAAGGGTTCATCTGAGAAATCTATGCCCAACCTCTCGCATGTCTGGCCTTGGGCCTTTGTGATAGTCATGCAGAAGGCTGTCCGGACAGGGAATTGGAGGCGCACGAAGCTAACCCC